ACAAAAGTTAAAAAAAAAATTCTGGTCATGATTTCAATTATCTTTATAAATAGCAAAAATCTTCTTTAAAATTCCATTATTTAAAAATATTTTAATAAAATTCTACGTAAACAAATTTTTTTTATAAATAATAAAAATTTCCCAAGATTTCAATTATTTACAAATTTTTTATAAATTTTTTCGCAAGAATTCAATTATTTTTAAAAATAATAAAACTGTTCTCAGTAATTTATTTATTTAAGATTCTTGCACGGGCTAAGCCCTTAATAAAAAAAACGATCATAAAAGTCAATTTTCATAAATAATAAAACTCATAGCAGGATTTCAATTATTTTCGATATAATTTTAATCGAATTTCTTGAAAAATGTGATTATTCTTAAAAATTTCATTAAAATTCGTCAAAAGAATTCAATTATTTAAAAATTTGTTGATAAAATTCTTTACGAGAATTCAATTTTAGCAAAAATTCAATTATTCTATAAATTATTTATTTTTGAATTTAAATAATTAAAATTTCGTAGAATTTTCTAATAAAAATTGATTTAAAAATGAATTTCCTAACAATCGATTTATTATTTATTAAAATAATTGAATTCTTGCAACGAATTTTATTTCATTTTTTTAAATAATTGAATTCTTTTAAGAAATTTTACTACTTGTAAAAATAATTGAATTCTTGCGAAGGATTTTATTAGGATTTTTTAAAATAATTAAATTTTTTTTTGAAAAATTTTATGATAATCATCTAAATTATTATAAAACACGAAGAAATCGATCACTTTGAGTCGAAGACTCGGAATGATCGATTTCTTCGTGTTTTGAATTTAGTTTCGTTGAACCATAAATAGTAATTTTGTATGAATGTATATTTAATATTTCTTTTTGTTCAACCTTATTTATTAAAAATTATTGATGTTTTCGTATAATTTTACAATTATAAAGAAATTTGTAAATAAATGTAATAAAAAATATTTTTGAGTCAGGAAAAAACAATTAAATATTTGAGGCAACCCTGTAATTACAATATAAGTACCTATATTAATATAATGTAATCATGAAGTATTATAAATATATTAAAATTCTAAAGTGTAGATGGCAAACATTTTGATCGCCAAATCATTGATGGCATTTAAGGGGTTAATAAATAATGTAAATATAATAATAATATAAATATAATAATAATATAAATATAATAAAAATAATAATAATATTAATCATATAATAATAGAAATCTTTTCTTCTCATAAAGAAAAAATTAACTCCAAAAAAATTTCGCTAGTAACAAACCCAAGATTTTATTCCTTCGACCCTAAATAAAAAAACCTCTTCAAATTTTCAATTTAAAAAACGAGTTCTAAAAATTTAACTACTTGAAAAATAATTTTTTCTCTTTCCAAATACACTTTTTTCTAGAATTCTCTTTTGTGTGCTCCAAAACGATTTTGTCTCGTAATAAATCTAATTTCAAGGATTGGTTCTCGCAGGTATATGTATATATATATCGAAAATTCACCGTTAATTCCTGAATTTTTACACCAAGTCCATAAATCTCGTAAGTCACTAAAAAATAAAAAAAAAAGATTCAAAAGATCGTTTCACATATTTAGAACTTCTTGCGAACTATCAGGATATTAATGAATTTGCTTGCTGCCGCGCTGCTGAAATCACGAGCCATTTCTTGACAAGAATCTCCGCGACGAAATTTTATAGCGAACCGCAAAAAATCGTTGCGAAAGCGTGGCCTATGAAATGAAAGAACCTCCGCACAAAATTCGATAATTATATACAATAATCACGTTATTAATTAGCAAAAAAAAAGTAAAAAAGAAAAAAAACTTGCGTAATCTAAATTTTGGAAGTTTTACTAATGAAAGTTTCAAAATTTTCTCTTTCATCCTTAAATAAAAATTTAAAATTTGCTATTCAAGATCTATAGAAACAAGACTAAGAAAATATGTAATTTTGAAAAAAGTGGAGGTAAAGAGTCCAAAAAACAAGTTTTCTGGGTTTTTCTTTACATTTTTCTCAAAATACTGAAGTACTACGTAATTTTAGAACCCGGAATCGTGTTCAGCGAACAAAAATATATTGAAAACCACTACAATATCAAAAATAACAAAAAAAAACAATTTTTTTGAGTCTTTACCCCCACTTTTTCAAAAACCTCTATTTTTTGGTCTTACACATATGGATCTTAAAGTGTAAGTTTCGAGTTTTATTTTAAGCCTTTATGGCAATCTCTAGTACTTCAGGTTAAAGAGAAAAGATATATTGAAAATCCTCAAAAACATGTTTTTTGGAGTTTTTACCCCCACTTTTTTCAAAATTCTGAAGTGGTCGGCAATTTTCGGTATTTTTGATATGGGAATGGTTTTCAATGTATTTTCGTCCGCTGAACACGATTCCAGGTCCCAAAATTGCGTAACACTTTAGAATTCTGAGAAAAGTGGGGGTAAAGACCCCAAAAAAAATTTTTTTTCTGGTTACTTTTGATATTGGAGTGATTTATATTGTATTTTTGTTTGCTGAATACGATTCCGGGTTGCAGAATTGTCTAATTCTAGGTGATTTTTAAGAAATCACCCAAAAACCAATTTGGGGTATCTAAAAGTACCCCAGTTAGAGAGTAACGCTTGAACCAGTTCCGTTAAGAAATCTAGGATTAAAGAAACAAATAAATAAATTTCCAACCCATTATATGAACAATTCTTAAAAGAAAGGAACAAATCTAAATCAAATGAAATAAAAGGATAATAAAAGAAAATTCCTCAAGGCGGAGATTACAACAGTGAACGGAGAAAAGAGAAAGGGGACAAAGGAGTTTGGTTGACTATTATTATAGTTGTCTATATGAATGCATCTCGTGACTGCCAGTGCAAATGATGAAGAAAAGAAAAAAAAATAAAGGAGTAGAGACTACTACCAATCGCGGGAGGATTCAGACAGTTCCTGGTAAACTTTCTCCTCTTTGCGCTGCAATGCGCTCTGAAACGATCTCTGTGTTAACGTTGAGTCATGATCTCTTTGTAGGACCACTTCTTATTCTTGTCCTGTTTGCTTGTTCTTGTATATATAGTCGTTCTTTGCTCTGGGGGTTCAACCTCATTGCAAGATTCGCGGAGACACTCTCACTCTACAATCTACATGTATCTGAATTTGAGCTTCCTTATGGAAATACCAACATACACACATATATCAGAGAAATGAAGAGAAGCTCGCGAAACCTTGGTCTTTCACACGCGTCAATATCTCTCCTCGGCATGCGAATTTAATAAGCCAACACATATACACACACGTTCTGCGCCTTCAGCACTGACATATTCCACCGTATTTGCATAATATCATACAATGATTGTCAATTATTAAAAAATATTAACCTACATTTGTTAAATTGAAAAATACGCATGAAATTATTTGCGCAATATATACATATCCGTAAAAGTGGAGGAGAAAAAGAGGGTATGTGGAAAATAACGGAAATTAAAATTTACCGCAGTTTGTGTAATGTGCGCAGAAAATTACTATTTGTCACTATTGTGACGATTTTTTTACAAGAAAGAAATTCAATGCTTCGCATTTTTACCAATGCCAAAGCCCAATTAAGTAAAAAATTAAATTTCGACTGTAAAAAATTGCCGAGGTGAAAATTTCAGTTTTTGAAAATTCTGCTATATGACAATCATTATTATCATTGTTATTTAATTAGTTCTTATTTATTATAAAGGAAAAAATAGTCCAAAAGACAAATTTAAATATTAGACCGTATAATATTAGCCCGAGATTTTAATTAATTAAAGTTTGTTTAATTCGTCAGCGAAATGCAAGTTCTTAAAATAATTTTTGTTCAAATAAACAATATTATTAACTGCAAGCATTCACATTATAAAGAATGGAACACAGCGACACAAATATCAACATGCAAAATACTTAAAAAATACTCACGCAATACTTATTTTGTTCGAGGCTCCTTCCTAGCGCTCAATTAAAGCGCTGTTTTGATTTATAATTTCTATACTTTAGAGATCAAAATTTGTCGGAATTCTATTTTAGAAAATTTGATAAATATTAATATTTTTCAATTAAAAAAACATTTATTTTAAATCAAGAAAAAAATATAAATCGCCTAAATTCAATTGTTTTCAAAAATTTTAATAAAATTCTTTGCAAAATTCAATTATTTTCATGAATAACAATATTAATCACGAGAAATAAAATTATTTTCAAGAGTTCAAAAATTCTTTTCAGAAATTCAATTATTTTCAAAAGTAAAAAAAAAAATTCTCGTCATGATTTCAATTATCTTTATGAATTGCAAAAATCTTTATCAAAAGAATTCAATTATTTAAAAATTTTTTGATGAAATTCTTTATGAGAATTCAATTTTAACAAAAATTAAATTATTCAATAAATTATTTATTTTTGAATTTTCGTAGAATTTTCTAATAAAAATTGATTTAAAAATAAATTTCCGAATGATCGATTTATTATTTATTAAAATAATTGATTATTATTTTCATAAATATTTTTATAAATAATAAAATTTTTACAGGGATTCAATTATTTGCGTAAATAATAAAAATCTTTTTAGGAATTCAATTATTTTCAAAAATAATAAAACTCGTTGCAAAAACTCTCGAAAAATGTAATTAATTCTTAAAAATTTTATTAAAATTCGTCGAAAGAATTCAATTATTTAAAAATTTATTCATAAAATTCTTTATGGGAATTGAATTTTAAAAAACATTCAATTATTCAATAAATTATTTATTTTTGTATTTAAATAATTGAATTCTATAGTAGAATTTTTTAGTAAATGTTAATTCAAAAATTAATTTTAGATAAAATTTCAGATAATAATTGAAAGTCTGTATTTTTAAATACTTTCACTGGTTCGAGCCCTGTCATTTAACAAAATGTAGAAAATTCATCTGTCGATATCTATACAGGACTAAAAATAAAACATTTTATTGTGTCGCTGTGTTACTGATCAATTACTCACCAATTGTTGATCTCAGGACGGTCAATTCCTGAAACATACAAAAACATATTTTATTTATAGTATACTCTTAAAAAAATTTTAAAAATACATGGAAAACTATATAAATAATAAAAATAACTAAATAAATAAGTTTTTTCTATTCTCTTAAACAAAAAAAGATATTCTCGAATAAAATTACGAATATTATACAAAATCCTAATGAAATTGAATATACACATAGTAAAATGAAAATTCCGCCAAGCGAATATTCGAATAAGTACAAAATTTTACATAGAAAATATTTCTTGCCATAAATTATTGATCATATATAATATAATAGCGTAATACGATATGCGGTTGGGAAAAAGTCAATAGACATTCTTCTGAATACTCACTTCAAAAAGCTTAAGTCAACGGAAGAGGAGAATATTCGCTCCCTTTGGAGAATTAAATTCACATGTCAGATGAAATATAATCTTTCTGCATTTCTGCCATTCGAAAGAATTATTATGCAATTACGTCCGTCACGCTCCTCAAAAATCAATTCCCCCCCTGCTCGAAATGCACTCAACTATTTATATCTCTACTGAAAAGAAAAGCTTTCGAAAATCAATTGTGTTCTCGAGTTGCCGAAAATATAATATACACACAATCCCTCGTATATTTGTCTAAACGTCACGTTAAACATGGCTTTTCCATAGTGTATACGAGTGATGAAAGTATTCGAAGGGAAATACCCTCGAAAATAGTAAAATAGAGACAGTGAAAGAGAGAGAGAGAGAGAGAGAGAGAGAGAGAGAGAGAAGCAGAGTGATAAAATTAAAATCGAAAGTAAATTAAAATACAACGAATGCATTGAATTGTCATCTAGCGTGAGTCATATTATTTCAATTGGCATTAAATCTATAGTACACTCTGCTTTTTGCTTCTGACTCTCCTGTCGACGACGACGGCTCTCTTTAACATGTCGTGTTTGGTCCAAACGACTCATTGCGCAAACGCCTTCTTATGAGCGAATGTAACCGGCTAATGAATCTGATATCTCCATAGATGTCTAACGTGTAAACGCAACGAGAATAAAAAAAAAGCAAACACAGAGAGAGAGAGAGAGAGAGAGAGAGCGAGAATATCAACAATGTTGCCTGTAATAGACTACAGTTACTGATCTGCATTCATTATCAGTGAACCAGACAAGCGGCGCTTGATACAGAATCGCCAACGACAAAAAGGTCATCACATCAAATACATCTTACAAACGCCTCGAGAAGACGCCGACAATAAATTTCAATCTTCTCTTAAGCAATAATAATATCACTTACATTGCTTCTGATTAATTGTTAATCATTACAACCTGTTCTACTTGAACCCATTATTTCTTTTCAAAACCAAAAAATAAGAGCAAAAAAAATCAACTAATAACCATAATGTCTCTCATATCCTTCGCTTGCGTATTCATATCATATATATATAAATGCGTGAAGTTATTCCGTTGCAGTAGAAATTAATTCGAAGTAAATTTGCTTGCTTTTAGTATGAGAATCCTTTGTTAATTTTCAAACGAGAGTGCTTTTATGAGGGTCAAAGTCTAATAGACCTCGCACTGTCGGCAAATTTTCAGAGTGGAATGTTCAATCCCATTTAAGAGAAATTTACTTCAATATAGGAGAGAATGAGAGAGAGAGAGGAAAATAAATCAAAGAGATGCGCACGGCAGATGCACTGTTTTTGGTTATAATGCACGAATGCATTTATATAAATCATGTTCAAATTCGATTTAGGAAAGTTGTACCAGAGAGAGTTTTTGACAAATCGCAATAATACCTATGAATGCTTTCGGTGAAATCAAAAACTTCTCAAAAAAAATCAATCATACCCATACTGCTGTCAACCTCTCTTTACTAGATCATATTTTCAAATCTATTTCCATCCCGAGAGAAACTACACTTGAACATCTTAATTAACACACTTCTTTTAAATTAAAACTCTCTTTTAATTTACTATTTTTTTAATAAATTCAACTAACTAATTAAAGTAATAATCAGAGTTGAATTTGTGTATTTTCATTCTCAAAATTACAAACATTTATTCATAAATAAATATAACAGAACATTTTTTAAATATCTAATCATTTTTAAAGTGAATCAGAATTTTTTTTCAGGGTCAGGGAAAAAGTCAAAATTTTGTCTGGAAATCAGGGAAAAACAAAATTAAATTTTTCTGGCAACCCTGATTTAATAAGCAATAGCAAAGTGGAAACTTTCTTGCAAAAAAATTGTTTAAGTTGTTTTTTATTAAGTAACAAAGTTGGCAGTAGTTATGTAGATCGAGATAAGATGAAAAGATTACATCAAAGGAGTTGGAAATTATATATATATATATTTTTTTTCTGTAATAAAGTATACGTATATATATGTTTAATAATCACATGTAAGTTTAAACATTTTGTCCCCTGGTGATTAACGACATCCACTTGAGCTTTAGGAATTGAAATGAATGTACCTTTCAATGAAACAAACGAGAAATTATCTCGCCACAGGATAATAAACTCTCTTGTCGGTCACCTACGTCACGAAAATACGAATATATCATAACTATAGCCAACACCGTGAGGTAATATTGTAACAATTGAAATATACTCAACGACAAGCAAAATATTCATCCTATCACTTTGACAACTGTAACCTTTAATTATTATTCCATTCCATACCTTTTAATTTAAAAAGAAAAATTTTTTTTTTTAAATTTCTTTTTTTTTCTTTACGATTTACTTTGCGTTCTAGAATTTTTTAATTGTTTCTTTTTATGCGAAAAAGATTTACAACCAGTGTTGTAAAAACTTGTATTTAAAATTGATTTGAAAATAAAATATAAATACAGAGAAAAATATTTAGAATGAAAAAATTGCCTTAAGGGAAAAAATTAAATCATGTTATGAAACTTTATTCACATAGATTTAATTTTTAATATTTAGTATTTTCTTAACTAGAAAAGAAGTTCTTAAAGTAGGACAAGCGGAAAGTGGAGTGGGGACAATGAGTGTGAGAGAGAAGTTTCAATAGTTCTCTCTTACTCCCATTGTCCCCTCTCCGACACTTTTGTCCCGTTCCGCGCAGGCGCTAGAGTGGGAGCAACGAGAGTGAAAGAGAAAAACGCAAATTTCTCTCTCACACTCATTGTTCTTTCTCCCAGCTCTTGAACTCTACTTTTTCTGTAAGTAGTTATTATTAAATATTTTTTTCTATTATTAAAAATCATTCTACTATTTAAAAAAACAGACAGCGATGCAACGAGTCATTTAGGAAAAAAAAGAGGATCATTAAAAAATAAATCCTACCTTGATCGATGGATCCTAATGCCATCCTTTCCTGCGCTCAGCTGCACGAGATCTCCAGTAAATGCTCCAGTTCTGCAACTAAAAATTTTCCCACCAGAAACAAACACCTGCAAAAAAAAATCATTGGGTCATATTTTTTCTGACAAAAATTACATGAACATAAAATTAATTTTCATTTTCTAGAAAGTCTATAAATTCCAAAGTGTGTCAATCACTATTCACCAATGTCAGACTACTCCTTATGATTGAATTTACATCCAACTGGGTCGTTTAATTAATAAAATATTTGTTTAAATATAAAATCGATAAATGTCCAATTTTAAATGTTAGATTCAAGATAAATATTTTTTTTTTACTATTTCTCATAAAATCTCCCGTATTTACTCACGCGATAGACACAACTTTACGCCTCTCCTATGTTTTATCGCACTCTCACGATTAAGTGATTTCATTAGCCAAAGTTTCTATTTAAAATAGTTTCATAAACTATTGAAGAATATAGTTTCATAAGGAATTGAAAAATAGTTTCATAAATCGCAGCAGAAAAAAATTGACTCTGAAGAAATTAACAACTAACTTTTTATATTGATTCCTGTAAACACTTCAATAATTATTTTCCTATAAAATAATATCCAGTCTAATAAGTATAGTAATCAGTCCTAGACTACAGGAATCAGGGTTTAGCTAAAATTCCGATTTTTCTCCGTGCATTAAAAAATAATCTCCCTCAGGAATAAAATACTCCTAAATATAAAAACAAAAATCCGAAAAAATACATTTAAATCGTAAACAGTCTCCTAAAAAAAATGATCAAAGCTCATAAAAAAAACCCGTTCAGAAAATAAGTATTCAAACAAAAACAAAAATGTTCATAAGCGCGAAAATCACGTATGTATAAAAATTTTTTGAGAGAATGTAAACTTCTTGTTAAAAGCTTTTATCTCTAAACGATAAATTCGAAGTTTGCCGATCGTGCGAATATTCTAATTGGATATATAGAGAAATGGACAAAGAGGGAAGGAGAAGAGAGAGAGAGAGAAAGAAAGAGCTTAGGAAGTCAAAATCGATGGATCGATTCGTTCAGTTGAATGAGCTCAAAAATGGAGTTTCGCCCACGCCTCCTTTAGCTATTAACGCTGCTCGAATGTAATTCATAGTAGTCGGCTAAGGCCAGCGCCGGAAGAATCTGGGACAACGTTTGGTTCTAAGCCCCTGGCCAATAAATCGAGGCATTATCGATATCGCGCTGCCCCAACGGAGAAAGCGTTCGGCGCATTTGCATTGCGGAAAGAGGTAGGAGAGGAGGCGAGGGAGACAAAGGCAAAAGGCACGAAATAAACCTTAAACCGGACTAAGCTAATTAAGGCTTGCGAGTTCCCAACGTGCATGTACATAAGTAACCAACGTGTGTGGATTCTTATTTTATTTTATTTTTTCTCTATGGACATAGTAGGTGTGCATACAACAGGAGATCCAATAAGATCTTTTGCATTATTAGACTCAGGCGACTATATATATAACTGTATTCGTAAAACACGAAGGTTAAATCTTTTTCGTTCGATAAATCATTCAAGATCTAATGTTGACATGCTTCATGCAAGAATTTTTGTCTTTTTTTAATCGAAAGAAAGAAATAACTCGAATCATGAATTAGAATACTGACGATTGATTCTTAAACTCTTGAACAATATCTGATATCCTTAAGAAAACTGTGTTCGTTTAGTACCAGTTTAATATTATTTAATATCAGTTTGTTACTTTTTGGTAACAATTCGGTTCATGGTACCAATTTGCCGCTTTCTAATAAACTGTTTGTCAGCCAAAGTGAAGAGCATATAATTGAACACTGTTTACACTACCATGTGCTAAAATTAACTTCCAATTTTGCACAGAGGAAATAACAAATGACCGTCATAAAAAAAAGTTTCGATAGAATTTAAATAATTTCCGCAAATCAATGTGTGCGCGTCTTAATCCGCAAAGAGTTGCGAGATGAGGGTTAAATGAAATTTCATTGATGGTAATTTAGAAACTATGTATAGCCATAAAATCATATCGATAGTCAGTTTTAAGTACCCTTTAATCATGTTTTATAGCTATGTGAGAAATTCTAAGCAGTACTCAAAAGCGAAATAGGTTCTTCATATTTGGAATTCTCATAAATATTTAAGTGCATAAAGTACACAGCAGTCATCAAAAGTCAAGTCTGACTTCCGTTCGACATGTTACGTACCGCAATTCTCTATATATATCCGCGGCTGGGCGAAACTTTTAATTACCAACCATGAATCATGGGTAGCTATATATGGTCATATCTCTTCCAAGAGCAAAATTCTGTTACATTCATAGGATTTAGAAACAAACTCTACATATAGATTTTAATTATAATTCGCGTTTCGTCCCACTTTGGTATGCGCAATCATATTTATTACCAAAGTGAAACCGTTAGTTTTCAAGTCCATATAGAAGATCGGTTGTATATTTTACAGCTCCAGGTGAAAATTCAATAGAAGATTGAAGAAAACAAGGATGATGTGTGACATGCAACTGTCACGCGAGTGGAATAATAACCTAACCCCAGGGCATATCTAAGTATCATTTTGACGAGAATCATGATGAGCGAAAACACGATGAGTGTTTCGAATTCCTCACGTTTTTGAATATTTTACAGCCTATTTATATGTCCTTGCGCGAATAATCATCATCGTATAAGGAATTAATTTGAAATAAAAAAAAGGATTTCTCTCTTGTCTCCTTGATTTTAATCCTTCGCAGATTAACACATAATTGATAATAAATTTTCCTCGCTGGAGATTTATTATTCTTCAATTGCTGCGGCCATATAAATGGATACGTGCGGGAGCATTGAACAAACATTATAACATTTCGCTTTTATTGGGTAAGAAAATAATTCCAGAATTTGTATATTATAGTCGCGCGTATTCGATCATAAAAAAAGGATCCAGTAAGGCGTTTTTAATGACGACCTCGAGACGTCGTAATGCATTTTTCAGTCATGCCCTCTGGGACGTTGTAAATCTTTATAAGCGAGCATGGATCAACTCTGATTCCCTACACTTTTTCTCTCGCACAGTCTTCTTCTTATTCGTTATATATATATATAAAAAGAATGATGATACGAACAGAATTTCTTGTACCATTTCCTATTCGGTAAAAGCGAAACCTATCATTTTCCACTCTCGCGTGTCATCTCCTCCAGACTTGGCAAGTTACAAATGATCCACCATTGTGTCCCCACAGAGAAACACTTGAATATTTTTTCCCATCGTCTCTTTTGAATAAAAAAAAATAATAATAATAAAACCATTTTTTTGATCATTTTTACAAAAGTCATTAAAATACTTTCTCATATTTTATGAAAATGTGAAAATAATTTGAAAAATTAATGTTGGACTTCTTTTTTTTTGTTCCAGGTACGTATAAGTTATGAGGGGTAAAAATTGAGATCATCCAACAAACTGGAAGTTGTAAGTCCGAATTATGTATTTATGGGAGAAGAAAATGAATTTTTCTGAACAAGGCGACGCATCAAATTAGTGATGCTTTCTTTTTCTGACCTGGCCGCAAGTGTAATAAACATAAACACCAGTGAGAATGTGAATTTAAACATCCTTCATACATATATTAGCTACGCCGTTTTTAAATTTATGTCGACTAAAGGTTTAGGTACAAAAAAGTATGAAATTGATTTAAATTTTTGTAATAAAGTATTTAAAAAAAAAGTATTCAGTAACTTTTTGGTATTACCAGTTTGATACTTTTTGGTTACAATTTGCGACTTTGTCAGTTTGATATTATAGTTGGTGATAATTTAATACATTTGGTACCAGTTTGATAGAAGTGAAATTGCAAAATCGACCCCCAATTTGATAGAACATGATAAAAATTTGCAGCCGTTTAATAACAATTTGCTTCTTTCTGGTACCAGTTGAATATTATTATAATTATATTTAATATGTGAGAAAAAATGACTTTTCGGTTTTGAAAGGCGTCGCATCAAATTAGAAACACTCTTCTTTTTTCTGGACCGGCCAAGTCTAATAAACATAAACACCAGTGAGAATGGGAATTTAAACATCCTTCATATATATATATATACATACAATTCTCAAGAGTCCACTCGAGGTATTTCCCATGAATCGAAGATGCATACCTTTGTAAATACGCGCGCGAGCCACGTAATCCTGCGTTATATGCGTCGAGGTAGAAAATATAATGGCGCGGACCCCATAGGTACCTTCGCATTATGTCCGAAGAAGGTATACCCATAGCACGCACATACACCCTCCGTCAATATGTGTACACACGTTTTGTATAAACGTGTATGTGTCTGTATACACGCAAATATAAATACATACATACACACATTTGTCTGCGTATATATGAAGAGTGAACACAATAGCAAATGGTATTCTATTATTCCAGTTGGACCTTCGTCTATACGCGATCTCGGGGTCCATGGAATGCAAGCACGAAATCATTCTCCGATATCTCACCGTTGCTCTGTGTGTCCCTCTCTTCCACTACCATCACTTCGTCATCATCCACAACCACCGTGACCCCAACCTAACCTGCGACCATCGACAGTCATCCCCCTTCGCCTATATATGGTCCCGTGTTCCCCAAGACTGACACGGTCATTCGTCACGTACTGGTCTAATAATCCTCTTTACTTCAACATTTCCCAAGTACAACATTAATTATGGCGTGTGGTTGATGAGCTTCGAATGTGAATCCCCTTGACCACCCAGACTGACAACAAGTCCCCAAGTTGTCTTCCACGAGTTTTTTTTCGGAACTTGCAAAATTGAATTTAGTAAATCGATTTTCCGGTGCTATTGGCATGAAAATTGCGAGTACTGTAACAAGCTTTCGGTGCATAATATTAGTTGTATTACTACTAGTGTTGCTAGTAATACTGCTAACAAATAGTGAACCAAAAGCTTCTGGAACAGTAGGCAAAGTACTGAACTATAAATCTTTGGTATCACCAGTATTGCCAGTATTTGGTGGTATTACTACTATTCCTGGTACTTCTATAGTATTACTGCCACCAAGTACTGAATCAAAACCTTTTAGTTGAATA